TAGAGAAGCTGTAGTGGCCTTCAGAAGGCACCGATTTCCATACATCTAGTTCGCTGAATAATGGAATGAACAAGACATTTAGAGAGGAGAAATGGGAGAGCAGGTGACATTAAACACTTCCACTAGCTCTTGTTTCGCCCGTTGTTGTTTTGTCTTTAGTCTTTAGATCAGAAAAAAATCCAGCACGCCCACATCTGGTTGGAAGACCTTCCTACAGTGTCAGATTTGTTGATGGATAACTTGTGATGTCATCAGCAGTGGGACTGCGGACCGGTTGGTAGTGTGGAGTCTGTGCGTGGGGAGGGTTGGCCGTCCATGCACAGATGGCATGGGGTGCACTCTTGGGGGGGGAGGCTGCGCTCGCGTGCATGTGGGGATGGCACAGGGCGCTATCGTGAGGCATGCTCACAGGGGGTGGGGCACCCGTGTGTGTGTGTGGGAGTGAGGGGTGAGGTGGGAGATCTGTCTCCGCAGCCTGGTCCTGCCAAGAACATGGACTGGGCGTTGGGGACCCTTGGAGGCTGAATTAGAGATGTTGTGTTTTGTGTAGAGGTGGGCATGAACCGCAGAATCAGTGGTTCCTACCAGTTCATCCTTTGGCTGAACAAGTGTTCGGCACTTCTCACCCCCACTGGCTTGGTGGTTCATGCCCATTTCTAGTTTGGGAGCAAGTAGACCTCTTGGATGCCTTCACTGTTGAACTCATGGGGTTTGAGTGGCCAATGGATGGATGGATGGATGGATGGATGGATGGACAGACGATCGGGCGGACAGATGGATGGGGAAAAAATCTGTATATAACCAAAACCACATTGCTCATACTTACGCAATTCAAGGGAAACATGCTTATTTGGATTGATTCTTGTGTGGATTTTCCAAATAATAGCTTAATGTGGTTACTGGATGGAGATGAACACATGCAAAACTGATCCCTAATAGTTAGGAAGTTTTTCCTGATATTCAGCCAAATTCTGGTTTCTGGTAGCTTGAGCCCATGGTTGCGTGTCCTGCACTCTGGGATAATTGAGAACAGATCCTGCCCCTCCTCTGTAGGACAGCCTTGCAAGGATTTGAAAAGCGCTGTCATCTCTGTTCTATTCTGACAGTTGCAGCTAAGAACAGGATGGGGGATTATGGGATCTATAGTCCAAATAATCCCAAAATTCTACTAGAGCCTTGCAAATATTCACTAGAATTGCACAGTGAGGTTAATTTCTTTGCCAGCTGATGGGTTTCTTGGTTCTGCCTGATATTCTGTTGCACAACGCTGTGGAAAAAATGGGCACCACCGCCCCTGAGTCTGAGAGGGCATTAAATAACGCTGAACTCAGGAAGAACAACACCTAACCGAACAGTTCAGCCGTTCGCTGCAGTGCTGCTCATTAAATTACACATAAAAGTCCCCTCATAGCAATAATAGGAGTAGTTGCCTGTAAAAACGCCCCAGTGAAACGAGATGTAAATTCCATCTTTCGTCTCCCTGCTACACCGACGGCATATTGGGGAGGTAATTGCTGATATTTCCACATTGTGATCGTGTCCATAAGCGATTGAGCAGAAAACAGGAGAAATGGCTTCTCTTATCTTCTTTTACCTCTGCTTCACGGAACGCCTTCCTAGTCCAAAACCACATTGCTCATACTTACGCAATTCAAGGGAAACATGCTTATTTGGATTGATTCTTGTGTGGATTTTCCAAATAATAGCTTAATGTGGTTACTGGATGGAGATGAACACATGCAAAACTGATCCCTAACAGTTAGGAAGTTTTTCCTGATATTCAGCCAAATTCTGGCTTCTGGTAGCTTGAGCCCATGGTTGCGTGTCCTGCACTCTGGGATAATTGAGAACAGATCCTGCCCCTCCTCTGTAGGACAGCCTTGCAAGGATTTGAAAAGCGTTGTCATCTCTGCTCTATTCTGACAGTTGCAGCCAAGAACAGGATGGAGAATTATGGGATCTATAGTCCAAATGATCCCAAAATTCTACTGCAGCCTTGCAAATATCCACCAGAATTGCACGGCGAGGTTAGTTTCTTTGCCGGCCGATGGGTTTCTTGGTTCCGCCTGATACTCTGCTGCACAATGCTGTGGAAAAAATTTGTCATCTCTGCTCTATTCTGACAGTTGCAGCCAAGAACAGGATGGAGAATTATGGGATCTATAGTCCAAATGATCCCAAAATTCTACTGCAGCCTTGCAAATATCCACCAGAATTGCACGGCGAGGTTAGTTTCTTTGCCGGCCGATGGGTTTCTTGGTTCCGCCTGATACTCTGCTGCACAATGCTGTGGAAAAAATGGGCACCACCGCCCCTGAGTCTGAGAGGGCATTAAATAACGCTGAACTCAGGAAGAACAACACCTAACCGAACAGTTCAGCCGTTCGCTGCAGTGCTGCTCATTAAATTACACATAAAAGTCCCCTCATAGCAATAATAGGAGTAGTTGCCTGTAAAAACGCCCCAGTGAAACGAGATGTAAATTCCATCTTTCGTCTCCCTGCTACACCGACGGCATATTGGGGAGGTAATTGCTGATATTTCCACATTGTGATCGTGTCCATAAGCGATTGAGCAGAAAACAGGAGAAATGGCTTCTCTTATCTTCTTTTACCTCTGCTTCACGGAACGCCTTCCTAGTCAGCCTTCCCAATCCGTTATTAAAAGGATGGAGATATATATTTTTTATGAAATTTAGTGTGAAAAGGATGGCTCAGATCAGAGTGCATTCAGGGGCATTGGCAGGAAGCCATGTATATTCCTCTTTTCACCTTCCGTCCCCAGATGTGCGGGGATAGAAGTAAGGGTGTGTGTGTGAGAGAATTTCCTTCCAGTTTTTAAAAATAAGAATTCTTGGAAATGTTCAAACATGTTCATCGTGCAGATGGAAAAGATCTGAGATTTTTTAAAAAAATCAAGGGGGAAGCCTGAAATGGATAAAGCAGCCCATCATGGCAGAAGGTTTGAAGAACTGGGTTGTAAAAATCTGGCTTTAGATTCCTCTATGCTAGTTCAAACAGGAATAGATGGAGGGCAGAAGAATAGCCCTAAATAGTGGAAGGAGGTATGTGTGTTTCTTCAGGCAGCAGAAACCCTTGTCTGCATTCCCGGGCAAAGGCAAATGAGTCTTCCTTTGTCCGTCCGCCAAGGGGTGTGTGTTTTATGGCAGTGAACAGTTTTGTGAAGGTTGCAAGACCACATTCTGTAGATTATATTCACCGTCAGCCCCACACTGGTCCATGGGACTTACTTACTAGAGGCCAGGACGTGGGTCACTTTTATTCCGAGATGATGGGTCTCTGGAAGATGGTAGGAAATTTAATCAATGGATTTAACTGGCTGAGATTCAGGTGATGAACTGATTTGCATTTCTTTCATTGGGTCGAAGCCCTGGAACAACTTCCACCTTCAGGGCTCTTAAGGGTTTGCCAAGCACCCTCGTGAGGTCCCCAGGGGGGGTCTCTGGCTTGCATGGTTTTGACAATACACCAAGAAGCTGATCCATGCAGGTGGAAGCCTAGGGATTCTACCAAAGATGCATTTTCTTGTTTTTCAAGTGTGTGCAGCAGAAACATGAGGAAGGGAACCATGCTCCTCTGGCCCTCTTGGTTAAGATTTCCTCCACCTTCTCCCACTGAGAGCACCATCAATGCAAAGAAGAGGTCTTCTACCTTCTCTGGAGACTCTCCATATGAGGTGGAATCCAGGCTCATTCCTGTGAATAGGAACATGGGAATCTGCCTTATCCTGAGTCAGACCTTGGCCAGTCTAGTCCAATATTGGCAACTCTGGTTGGAGAATGCTGGAGGTCCCTGATACTGCGTAATAGGAGGAGGCACGGACCTGCAACAATTATATTCCCTGGGGTATCACTGCCCAACTGGTTAAGCTTGCCTCCTGCGAGAGTGCCTACGCAGGGAGAGAAGGGGGAAAGGAGAGACATGATGGTGGTGGTGGTGGTGATGATGAAATGCCTGTGTCTGAATGTATGGTGGTGGTATTGTTTCTCCAATGAGCTAGCCTGTTCTATGTCTCCTTCTTCTCAGGAAGAAGGGGCTGGAGGTAGTGGGCAGGCTCTGTAAATGCCAACAGATAAGCTTGGTTGATGACAAACCTTGACAGCATCTTAAAAAGCAAAGACATGACCTTGCTGACAAAGGTCCGAATAGTATAAGCTATGCTTTTTCCTACAGCGACGTATGGAAGTGAGAGCTGGACCATAAAGAAGGATGACCACCAAAGAATTGATGCTTTTGAATTGTGGTGCTGGAGGAGACTCTTGAGAGTCCCCTGGACTGCAAGGAGAACAAACCTATCCATTCTAAAGGAAATCAACCCTGAGTGCTCACTGGAAGGACAGATCCTGAAGCTGAGGCTCCAAGACTGCATACATCCTCATCGCCATTATCATAGCAGCAGCCTGCTGGACTTGGGGGAATTACCCACGGAACAAGCTAGATTGCTGATGCTCTGAGTCTTCTGCACCAGCGCAAAGTGCCTCTCTTCACCTCAGTCTCTCTCAATGAGACACACACAAACCCGCACTCATGCATTCACACCCCGGAGAAAGGCACCTGCTTCTCGGCAATGCTTGCCTCTCCGGTGCGGCCGAGAAACGACTTCTTGCAGCTGTTTTAACATGGCCAGGCTTGCGCGGTAATTGTTAATCAGATGGAACGCCCCCCGAGGAAACACAGCTCCCCATAGCCGCTGCTGAGGGTCAGTGTCCTCCTTGGCATTCTGACCACCCCTCACCCATCTCAAGTTCCTCCGGGGAAGACCGTGAGACAGCAAAAGCCCTTTCCAGCTTGTGCGCACCCTGAATTATGCAAGTAAACATCATGCAACATCAAAAGGAGATGATCCATGCTAAAGACACTTTGGAGGAGCATAACACGGCCAACAACAGAGAGAAGAGATGCCCCGGTCACCACCACCGTTGCCCACCCTCTTCTCCTCCATGGGCCACCAGCAATGAGACGTAAGAGCAGGCCACTTACCCAGGAAATCCAGCCCGCTGCTGTCCTTTGGGCTGCTCAGGCAGTTCTCCAGGTAAATCCCACCCTTAAAGCAATCGTCTTTCTTTTTGGTCAACCCAAGGATCTCACTGGGCTGATCCAGGGCTTCTCCTCCGGAGCAAGAGCAAGGGGTCTGCATGATGCCACAAGGGTGAGAGCTGGTGCTGGTGGTCAGGCACGTATCCAACCATTTGCAGAGCATCTGGCAGGCAGCCTTGCTGGGGCTCCGGTTGCCGACCACCAGGTATTCCACCGAGAAGTCCCGTTCCGGAGCCTTCGCCGGCTTCCACCGGACGGGGCTGCTCTCGAAAGCCGAGAAGGTCTGCTTCATCTGGAGGAACTGCTTGCTGGACTGGAGGAAGGCGTAGCGGGTGGAGCTGTCGCAAAGGTTCAACACGTCGTCGAAGCTCTCCATGCCCAAGTACGTCCGGGTGGACTCCAAGAAGGAGTCGAATTGGTACGTCCGTATCTGCTGGTAGTCGCATACGCTGGTGGGCTTCAGGACCTTCATGTACAAGGTGTACCTCCTGGGGTCGGGGTTTTGGATGATCCACGAGCAGCGGGAAGAATTCAGGGGGAAGACCGCAAAAGAGGAGAAGTACCCGAAAAATTTGCCCTGGACCAAAGTGGTGCACGAAGACTGGCCTAAGTCGAGGGCCCCGGCTGTCCAGGCCAAGAAAAATGGCAATAACAAAAGCGGGTTCAAGGAAAATCCGGCGCTTCTCCTCATCCTAGGTTCCTGGTCCTTTGGAACTCACAGCGACGGCCGGGCAAAGCGCAGATCTTGGACATAACAGGAGGAAAAGTGAGAGATACCGCTCCAGGCTTGACGCAAGACTAAGGCAGGCTTCCCATGTTTGGATTCCAGCGCCTTCTTGTGGTATCGGTGAGGAATACCTGGAGAAAAGAAGAGAAACACGTGTGCAGTGAATTCTGGGATACCAAGATAGAAAATGCAGCCCACATCCAGGTGTACAGTTCCCCTTTTACCTGAATGCACACACCTGTAGGTACCGTCCTGCTTCTCATCCCTGACTGGATAAAGTCACAAGTCACTCCAATAAACAGCAGGACTGGAGAACATCAATCTGCACCTTCCCCCCCCCACTTGCACATAATATCGACATCCTTAAATCAATCTGGTCTCCATGTCTAGGTGCGAATGCTGGACAGGAAAAGAGAGCTGAAAGGGGCGGGGACGGATTGGTTGGAAATGTGCTGCTGAAAAAGACCTTTGTGGATACCCCAGAGTGTCAGAAAGATGAATAAGTGGGTCCTAGATGAATTCATGAACATGAACATCATGAACATGAATGCCAACATGAATTTGAGGCAGCTCAACATGAATTTGGTACCAAACTCCGGGAGGCAGTGGAAGACAGGAGGGCCTGGCGTGCTCTGGTGCATGGGGGTCACAAAGAGTCGGACACGACTTGACAACTAAACAACAGAACAACAAAAATAAAACCAAGCCTGAACACTCTCTGGAGGCAGAAGTGGCAAAACTGAGGCTGTCCTCCTTTGGGCACACTGGCAAAACTGAGGCAGGCTTGCTTTGGGCACATCCTGAGAAGGCAGGATTCTCTGGAGAAGGCAACGATGCTGGAAAAGGAGGAGGACCCAATACGAGATGGATTGTCTCCCTAAAGGAAGCCCCGGGCTTGAGTTTAAGAGCTGAGCAGGGTTGTTAAGCATGGAACATTTGGGAGATCTCTCCATCATTGGGTTGCAATAAGTTGGACTTGAAAGCATGGAACAACAGAACAAATGAAGCCTAAATTCACTGTAAAAGCTAATACAGTGGTGGCTCGCTTTACGATTGCCCCACATTACGATGAAACCGCATTACGATGATCTTTATGCGATCACAATTGCGATTGCAAAACGATGGTCTGAATAGGCTTTTTTCGCTTTGTGATGATCAGTTCCCTGCTTTGGGAACCGATTCTTCGCAAAACGACGATTTTCCTCCAGCTGATTGGCGGTTTCAAAATGGTGGCCGGATAAATAAAATGGCTCCCTGCTGTTTTCTGGGATAGATTCCTTGCAAGACAGCCACCAGAAATGGCTGCCCTATGTAGGATCTTCGTTGGACGGTGAGTTTCCAGCCCATTGGAACACATTAAAGGGGTTTCAATGAGTTTCAATGGGCTTTTTATTTTCGCATTATGACGTTTTTGTTCTACAGCGATTTTGCTGGAATGAATTAATGCCGTAATGTGAGGCACCACTGTATGACTAAACTGACGGTATTGTATTTTGGGCGCATCGTGAAAATAACAAACCTAATGGAAATAGCAAACATGCTGGGAAAGGTGGAAGGCAGCAGAAAAGAGGAAGGCCCAATACAAGATGGATGGACTTCCTAAAGGAAACCACAGGCAAGAGTTTGCAAGGCAGTTAAGGGGAGGCCATTCTGGAGATTGCTCATTTATACGGGCACCATAAGTTGGAGGTGGCTTGACGGCGCATAACAACGGCAGCAATAAAATAAATACGTACATTAAATAATTATCTACACCATGTCCTCCCAACCGGCAACTGAATAAGCAGCAGGAGAATCTGGATTGGCACAGAAGAAGAATCCTCTGCACTTGGATAAAATGATGTCGAATTGGTTCTGCCTCCCAAAGCCAAGCACCAGTTTGGCTGTAACCTCAATTCCTTCTCCATTTGTGATCCCTTTTGGGTTTTTAGAAGCAGGGAATTTTCATTCATTCATTCATTCATTCATTCATTCATTCATTCATTCATTCATTCATTTTTTCTTATTCATAAGCTGCATTTCTCCAAATAAGGAGACTCAAGGCAGCTCACAGTGATAAGAAAGATTTAAAAACGCAATCAGTTATACATAAAAAACCCCAAACACCATAATATTAATTAAAACACACTGAATGATTAAAAAACATTTTAAAATTCAACTAAACATAACATTCCTTTATGATGGTTCAAGACCTGCCCGAAGACCAACTGCCAACAAAATAATTTATTTATCCATAAATACTAAACAGGTCCAGAAGGACGTAAGGTGCCCCTTGATAAACTTCCGGTTCTGCAACGCAAGGTCTTGTGAAACCAGGTGGCTAAATACAATTTGATTTTAGTGGCGATGGGCTAAGCCGGATGTCATTGGGATGAAATACCCCTGTTTATCCCAGCCAGCACAAAGGTAGAATCTCGTCACAGATTCAAAGCAGGGTGTAGTGGAATCCTTTTCTTCCAGCAACATCTGGAAGACAACAGTTGCCCCCCTCCCGATCTTGTAGAAATACATTTACCTTTCCATAAGAGCCCTCGGGTATTTGGCTGAAGAACTGCCATCAAAATTTGCCTTGATTTCCATTTCTACTGAAATACAGGGTCTATCCATGGGCATCCGTGTAGCATCCTACCACATTTCTCATATTTCTCGACATTGCTCATGTTCCCACGGTGAAAAAACGTTCCGTTTTTCAGCATCGGTAAAAGTGCAATAACCGGACTGATTAATCAGCTCGAACATGAACTGACCTCTAATTCCTGGACCTATGGACCCTTAAAGGGTGACCCATCGAAGGTTGCCACAGTCGAATTAATCAGAAGGAGCTGGCCAGTGCGAGGAGCCTTCTTTTGCAGATGGGGAACATGCTCAACCGGTACAGCTTGTTTCTCATTGACACGTTTGGTGGGACCAAAAACAGAGGATGTTTGGTCAGGAGATAGAACAGGAAATCCATTTCATTTGCCCCACATGCACCTTATCTTGCAGTGGTCACATAGGAGCCCACACTCAGTGACATCTCAAGATCTTGTCCCTTGTTCTTAAGCTTGGGCCTTGAAACCTTTGAGGATCTAAATCTGCTGACTGACACCCCTATCTGTGGCATTTGCCTGTCATGGAGCTGTTATGGATGGGATATCGTTGATAAGATTGGAAAATAGAGCCCGCACCCATCCTAAAGATGAAGATTGCAGATTGGGAGAAATTGCTGTGAAGAATAAACTGAAATGAAATTCGTGCCCGTACGTCCTTGACGAGATCAACAGTTAGCTCATTCTTTTATTAATCAGCAGCATATGGGATAGTATGAGGCGAGGCCATTTCTTAGCAAATGTTTACAGCCACAGGAGCCTGTGTTGCGGTGGCACACACCACTGTGGTAGATCAGAAGCTGAATATGAGCCAACAGTGTGATGGAACTGCAAAAAAGGCAAATGTGATTTTAGGCTGCATTCACAAAACTATAGTCTCCAAAACCCGTGAGCTCTATACAGCACTGGTTAGGCCCCATCTAGAGTACTGCGACCCATTCTGGACACCACACTTGAAGGAGGAGGCCAACAAACTGGAGCAAATTCAGAGGAGGGCAACACAGATGATCAAGGATGATGGAGGGACTGGAAACTGAGCCCTGTGAGGAAAGACTGAAAGAACTGGGCATGTTTAGCCTTGAGAAAAGAAGACTGAGGGGAGAGAGGAGGACTTGTTCTGGATCATCCCAGAGTACAAGACACACAACAATCGGCTCAAGCTAAAGGAAGCCCAAATTTGGTTATCAGGAAACTATTAGAGCAGTACGACAATGGAACCCATCACCTTGGGAGGGGGTGAGCGCTGGAGGCATTGAAGAGAAAACTGGACAGTCTGTCAGATTTTGATTCCTGCATAGAATTAAACTCCATGACTCTTTAATTCCATGATTTGATGATCACCTGTCTTCTGTGGGGACAAGATAGCTCCATAGGCTTCCGGTGAATGAAAGAGGCCCCCGAAGGTGTTGAAAAAGTCCGGAGAGGCTGTTAGCCGCCACAGTGAGAGACCTGCAGTGATCCTAGTGTTCGGAATATAAAGGAGCGTCCGGGTCTGCCCTTCCTTTGCTTCGGAATGACCTTGCCCCCCTCCCTGCCTTGTCCGTCTTGAAAGCCAACTGGCTTTCGCTAAACATCTCAGCTAACAGGATGCTGCGTTGCGGCTGTTCGGCCTCCGGTCGGATTTCCTCTAAACGAAGGCCCATCTGGAAGATTTTATTGCAAAGAGCGTAAATATTTTCTCCCTTCCTCGGTGTGTCAGTAGTGGGGAGCTTTCAAAGGAAAATTAAACACACGTGGCGAAATAGTGGGGGAAGAAATCTTTAATGTGAAAACACCTGGAACTGCAGCCCTGTCGGCAATGAACTCAGCAGAGCATTTGCAGGAGGGAAGCAGAAAGGATGCTCCGCCCGAGATACGAACTAACTACCTCTCCCGACAGCAGAAGAGACTTGCCCCAGAGGAGCAGCCCTTGCCGAACACATTTGGCGATCACGCTTTCTGATGCCAACTTGCCTGAACTGCCGCTCCCAGTAAGGGTGTATGTCAGAACCTGTCTTATAGAGCTGCTGGACTACAGCTCCCATCATCCTTGACTGCTAGCCAGAAGAGCCCTAGATTTCCATGAAAACAAAGCTTTATTATGAAAAGATCAAATGGTCTGCCAGTTTCATCTGATCTCTCTCTCTCTCTCTCTCTTCTCTCTCTCTCACACACACACACACACACACACACACTAACCAATTGTTCCTTTCAGGTTTTGAAATTCAGAGAGAGCCCTGCCTCTCTGCTGACTATTCTGTCCCTCTCTTTCATCAATTGGAGGCAGTTGCTTTGTTGTTGCTGCTGTTGTTGTTCTGTCTGGTTGCTTGCTAGTATGTGTGCCCTAAAGAAAGCAGTATACACAAGTCTGCAATTTCAAGCAAGGGTAAGTAAAGAAACAGTTTTCATTCATTCTCCTACAAATCTCTCAGAGTGAGTTACTGAGACTTTAAGTGCCAGTTAATGAGGAAGGGGTGGACTGTCTGGGGGAACTTAATAGCCATTCTGTTCTATGGATCTCTGTACTTCTACTGTGTAGCAAAGAGAATTTTGCCAGAAATTCA